GATCACTGATGCTGGCAAGCATGGTTCCCATTGCTGACCCCTTCAAAGTAACGACGTACTAACCAAACATATGCGTTGCATAGATTAAACAGTTGAGATATGAAGACTTTGCCTTAACAATCTTTCAGGCAACGACAAACCTTTATGCCAAGTGAGCAAGAACTCTGGCTTGCGCTACAGGTGTCTCTCTTGCAATAAGCCATTGCTTCGATTCTGCTACTTGCCAAACCCATGTGTCCCGCTGTGTTCCAAGGACTGACGTGGCAAGACCGATTGGAGCAGTAATGATTTGGCGCTACGTATCCCAGCTTGAGCTGATCAGGACTGTTCTTCATATCAATTGTTCACCTTCCGCGTATACATTCCAGGCTAGTTTCTTAGTCATTACCCAGAGATAACCTGGCTACCTGGTTGAAGATTGACTCGGTAACCAGATCGCCTCCCGGAATCACACTGGCTGGCTTCTCCTGCTTGAGTAGCTCCGCCATGCCGATCGCCTGCTGAATACCCGTGATGTTTCCAATGAGGTCGAGAATTTGCGTCGCCCATTGTTTCGCTGGAGATTCTGCTGCTGCGCATCGACCTGCGATGAAAAGCGGCCACAGCGCCCGGTATATGCTTCCGAAGCCTACTTCGCCGGAGATGAAGTAAAATGGAATACTGCCACAGATCTCACCTGCCATGTGCTCAATAATGCCAGTAGACTGATATATGATCTGCTGATACTGTGGAAGATTTTGCAACCGCCACCGGCGCAGGGCCATCATCCTAATCATCTCGTTGAGAACGATGCGCGTCTGGCGGTAGTTATTCCACATTGTGGCAATGGAGACCCCGTGGTAAAGATGATATCGGTTATCATAGATCGGCGGATAGGTGGATTTGGGCAAATGGGAGCGCGGGTCATCGATAACTTGATAAGACCACGCTGGACTCAGCGATGTCGTCCACGCCAGTAGACGCGCATCCAGGGTCAGAGATCTTTCGATCAACGACTGTTGCTTCTCGAGGTCACTTTGGAGGTGGGCCTCGTCAACTTCGATTGCTATATCGTTCAGCTCGATGAGCATATTGTAGAGGGTTTCAATCGGCCGGGTATGTTCATTTCGTTTGGATCTCGCGACTTGAGACAGCGCTGCAATCGTGGGTGAATTGTGAATTTGGGACCCCAATCTGAAGAAAACACTGCTGATTACCTGCCAGGCCCGCATTAGGCAAGTAGTAGAAACCTTCCATAGAGGGATTTCCTCACATTCTGAAAACGCACAACGGTGAATAACTCTAGCCCAACCGGCGAGCTCAACTGCTCTCTACCTCGCAGTTCTATGAGCTTGGCTGCTCCTTGAGCATGGTCCCTCCAGCCACTGTCCATTTCCGTGGGTCGTGATGTGATCAGCTGAGAAGGATCGATCAGTGTATGTTGCTTGGACGAAAGGGTTGCAGCTCGTAATGGGGCGTATCACCTCATACAAGCCCAGCAACAACACGGCACCCAGGGTGGAATCCGAGGTTGCTGTTGTCGGATCTCTTAAAGCACTATTTGTAGCACGCAAGGCAATGATGTGTTCTTTCCTGGCTCGCTGTTTCACATGTGGCATCCTCGTCATGCCTAACAGACCTATAGCCTTGGCGGAGGCTTTCAAGGCAGGAGAGGGGTCATTCTGCAACAGGCTTGGCAGAAATCGAAGTAAGCCCCGATGCTGGTCCGTGCCAACATAGTATGGGATGATATAAGACATGGCTCGCTGGTCATCGGAGATGGGTGAATAGTTTAGGGAGAGTGTAGACGGCGACTCTTCCGCAGGCGACTGTTGGATGGGACCACCACGGGCCTGAGCCTTGGACGCAACTTCCGCGCTCTGATCATAGATCCTCAAGGTCCCGGGATCTCGATATCCAAAACATTCTTGATTCACTCGCAGGCACTGTGAACATGATGGCTGACGTCGGTCGCACTGCATACTGTTGGCCATTTCCTCGCTGTGTAATGTCTGGAACGTGCCCACTTACTCGCAGCCGTCGCTTTCGGCACAAGGTACACCCCATACTGATTTTGCCTCTGTATACTCCGGCCATGGTGCTGTCATCCCAAAAAGGGAAACAAGTTCGCAGAACCTTGAAGTGGCTTTCGGATGCATCACGAGAGGAGGACTGTTGCTGTTATAATGCAAGGCTGGATCAGATCCGCCCCACAAGAATTCGCAAGTGCTTGCCAGTTGGTCCCACATGCGGGCCAAAAGTCATGGACGGCAACCAACCAAAGTGCCCACGGTGGAGATAAACAACTACCCCGCAGAATACTAAGCCTCGCCCACTAGACCATCCCAGGTAGCCAGCTCGGACTGGATCTGCTACTTTGACTTTTGGGCTTTGAGGGGGTGAGGGGACTACTGGTGGGGTAGTAGGGAGTCACCATCCGGCAGTGCTTTACTTCCCATCCATCAATTTTCATCAACCTGCAATCGAGGGCTGAGAAGGATGGAGCTCCCACTCTAGCCTAGCCTGTTTTAGGTAGCTGGTTCGGAACAAGCAATATCTACCCATCAAATGGATTTAAGCGAGTGGAACAGTATCATCTATATGTCCTCATCGAAAACAGGCAGTCCACTGGCTACTACTTAGTACCGGGCTATGTTTTAGCGGGAATCACCATCCTCGTCTCCGACCGTGTTATGGTAGTATTGCATGGTGTGATTGGCTGGGAGGGGATATGGGCCCCGACTACTAGCCCCGTCGTTCTGCTCTATCTTCATCGATTACGTGGCCAAGAACTATTTACTACATTACTAGGTACATGATGAACCTGGGAATTCCGATCAAACACTGGTGTCATGCCAAAGACAAATTGTAGCCCTCAAGCTCCGAGCCGGCTACTGGATTGAAATTAGCGCGCTCGGTTGTACTAATACTCCACTAATGTCAACTTCGTATCCCCAGAGCTGAAACCAAAAAACGAACAGAATAGTCTGTCTGGAGCGGCTGGTTTGGGCTACGACTAGGCTCTTCCATGAGAGTTGTTTGTTGACAGGGACAATTGTACTACATTTGATGCGCAAGATCGACGGGCAGGAAATGCCCCGAGACGAAGATGAGGCACCCAGGCGTGGGAGAAAAACACCTGGCAGTATATAAAGAGGAGGATAAGCTGGTTGTGAAGGTGGTATACAACAAATCCTCTAGGTCTTGCATCTCAATTGACTCCTCGTCTCTTTTCTACCTAAATCACAACCGCTGCGACAATGGCACACGTGACCTATTCTGATGGCATTTCAATCCTTCAGTTGATCGTGTTCCCATTTCTTCTCGCGTGTTCCATCTACATCTGGAAACGAACAGGATGGAGAGCCGGGGGGCACACCTGGCGATTCGCTGTCATCCTATCTTTACTCCGTGTGGTCGGCAGCATATGCACACTGGCCCAGCTCAGTTTCACCTCGACCAATCTAAGAACTGCCGCAACAGTATGCAATTTAATCGGTATCGCGCCCCAGTCCCTGATGTATATGGGACTGTTGCAACAAATGTGAGTCAGAGACTCTGGCTCCCACCCGGATAGGCAGACATGCTAACAGTTGGGCGTTTCTCTAGTGATGTGGAATACCGAATCCCTCCCAAGCCCCTGCAATCCTTGTCCCTTATATCATTGATCGCCCTCATCATCGCGATCGTGGGGGTGGATAAGACAGAAAAGTCCGGCAGCATCAATGCACTCCTCAAGGCAGCCATGATCATCTTTCTCATCGTCTTTGCCGCCATCCTGGCGGCCACTGCTTGGCTGTTCAATGAGACAAAAGGCACCCTGAGACGATTCCAGAAAAAGCTGTTCCTCGGAGTCGCTCTGTCTGCTCCCTTTCATACCGTGCGCTTAATCTTTGCGGCGATCGCCGATCTGGGCCATTATGAGATCTTCCAGTCCTCCCTCAGCAGCAACCCTACCGACAGCAGTCTCACACTCTCGTTGTGCATGTCTGTGCTGGAGGAGATGATCGCTCTGACTATTGCCGTGGCCTTTGGTTGGTCTGCCATGCTCGAGCGAGACTTCGTTATTCCGGGAGCGGCAGTCCCTGGAGATTCTGAACAGGAGCAGAAGGTTGAGGGTGTATGATCTGGTGGATGCTCAGTGAGCTGTAGGATCTTCAGGCATTCATTTGTCTTTGGTGAAGGCCCGGTTTGATCATTTTCATGTACAGTACATGGATGCTGACATCATGCATAAACAAATAAGCCTACTATTGTAATGCGACTTCGCACTGCTCGTAAAACTTCCTGCGCTACTCGTTCTCCTCGTCCGGTAGGGGCTCTGGAGAATGGGTTAACCGAACTCTCTAGAGCCCTGGGATTAGGAATTTATTGATTAAATTGTACTAGTGTCGTGGCGATGGATGTGAAGTTCTTGTTGCAATAAAGTGCCCGATGCTTAGCTCGTTGTTGTGCCAGCATTGGCTGGGATATGGTGCACTGGATCTAGTTACATGGTCTACGTAGGTCACTTGCGAGAATCGGGAATTGGCTTATCATTTCCGCATTTCTTGATTCCACTTCTCTCAAGTTTGCCTTTAACATAAGGGAGATGCATTCATCCTGAGCTCCGCATGGAAGCCTGGTTCTTGTCAGGGAAGTACCCGCGTTAGACAAATCCAAGCAGTAGAAAAGCAAGGACAGCAAGCATGTTAAGCAACGATCAATAATGCACGGTTTGACGGGTGGATAAATATCTACATCGATCTCTCGGTCGGGTAACATGTCGCTTCCGGGCGAGGCAGGTCCTCGGGGTAGCTTAAGTACAGCTGTTTTGGAGTTGCATGTAGACTGCTTTCTATAGTCCATCTCATTTTGCTAGTAGCATGAAGCTGCCCTAGGACTGCGGGCAACTGACTCCTCATTAATGTGTATCATGCAAGGTGGCCTTCGATGTGTTAGGCCAACGCTGGTATAACAACATAAACGTCATCGGTCGCCGACCGGTATAAGCAAACCAAGACATTCCTAACGCAAATTCTCTCGCTCAAAGCCTCCCGGACCTTTCAATTTCAAGTCAACAAGCCCGGCCTTTCAATAGTCGAGCTCTTAACAGTACCAGCCAGGCACGCCGCTGATATCAGTGGCCACGAAGCCCCAGGGAGGGTTGCAGCCACCCTCGTCCGAGTTGAAGAGGTAGTACCATCCTTTGTCTTGATTAGCAAGAAATCCCAGTCATTCAAGCAATTGAGACTTACCATTGGCACAGCGGCAGTAAGAGGTGGGGATGCCGCAATCGGGGTCAGAACTATGACAAGGCAAGTCAGTACAAGGCGTAGGAGCTGCCAGGCCGGATAGAAGTGTGCGTACAAAGGGAAGCACCCGCTGTCACCGCGGGCGGCAAGGTCTGCGTTGCTGGTCTCCGCCGAGGGGAGGGCCATGACGGCGGTGGCGCTGAGGAGAGTGAGGAGGAGAGTAGGAAGCTGCATCTTGTTGAATCTTGGGAATGATGAGGATGGTGATGAGGAGAGTCGACGAGACAAGGAAGCCATCCGGCTTATATAGTGGTCGGAGGAGGCCTCAATCATGGTTTGGAAGGTTGAAGCATCTCGTCTGATACTCGCGCTAAGAGCTCATAGTCCCATTGCGAGGGAAAGGCAAGGCTCTGTCGGATTCTGCAGGAGTAAACGGCCTCCAACGCCGCCGGTCTTGGCACAGGCGAGTTATCTATACAGAATCGCTTGAGGCTGAAATGTCTCAGTCCGCAATCGCTTGATTGGTGAAGGATGTAGTCGCAGGATCGTGGAGTCAAGAGCTTGCATGATGGCTTGTGAATAGCCGAGAGAATACGAAGCTATTGATTGAATGCATGATTTGTGATGGATTAACCTGATTGTTTAGCAGGTCAACTAGGGCTAGAATAGGAAGGAGGAGCGATGCTCACCGCCCGGACCGGCACGAGGCAATTTGGAATTGACAAACCCTGAAGGAGTCAACCAGTAATTAACTTATCAATGAACCCTTAACCCTGAAAAATAAAAAAAAAATCGATAGTCGGTGGGGATAGTCAAGTACATTTCTTCATCGCCTCCACGCAGCTTGGCCTTCTTGGGCAAAGCTTAAACCCAACCGCATTTGACTGGCCGGAGTCCCCACAATCCTTCAACCATCGCCTGATAGCGCCCAGATAAAATAAACAATCAACGCTCACTTGCGCCTCCTTTCTTTCCCTCACCAAGTAAATCATGTCCTCTCCCTCAAAGCCATCAGGCTTAGACAGCTTACCCAATGAACTACTTCTAAAGATTCTGGAGCAATCTCCGGATATCTCCACCCTGTGGAGCCTCGTCAACACCTCTGCACGCTTTGCCGCACTATTCCAGGCTCGGGCGCTGGAGACCGTCGAGGCCGTGCTCGAGGCCACCGTCCCGTTGCAATCGCGAATTCTCATGCGGGCGGTGCTGTCCCTGCGCGCCGGAACCAGTTCATGCCGGGACTATTTCGACGCGATGGATTACCTGACGGAGAAATTCGAGCCCTGGCCGCCAGTGGTCGCCACCGCGGCCATCGTCCGGGATTTCGTGCGGCTCGCACACCAGGTCCATTTGCTCGCGCATTGGAGTCTCGATACCTGTCTCCAGCACTGTCTCTCCCGTCCACAGCTCTCACGACGCCAATATTGCCCGACATTCCGGCAGCCCACGTGGACGGAGGAGCAGCGCACGATTCTCGCGTTTTGGCGGCATGTGTGGTACCAGAGCCTCCGGCTTGCGGGCCGCCAAGGATTGCTAGAGTGGAGCCCCGCCGACCTCGACCGCTTGGCCACAGTCACCCCCTGGGAATACCCCATCCCCTCCTCGGGTATCTACCAGGTCTTGACAGTCATGGACTTCTTGAGCCGCCACGCTGCGGCTGATTCCGACACAAGCACCAATCTGGTGCTCCCGGATATCCCGGCACAGTTCCGGTTCGGATGGGCGTGTGCCCCTGCGCCCTATGCCAGCGCTTTGGCGCAAGAAGCGGAGGGGTTGAGTGCTGCAACCGAGCCGGACGAAGGAGCTCTCCAGCTGGAGGGCAAATTAGACGAGGAGGGGGAGAAAGCACTAGCCACTGAGATAGCCCAGGCTGCGGCGCCCTCCGCGCCTCCCCCTGAGGATGAATGCCGTCCCTGGCCGCCAGGCTACGCCTTTCGACCGGTACGAAATTACGGTGTACGAGCCCCCGGACGCGAGTGGCAAGATCTAGATGCGGAGCCCCTCGGGTTTCAGTTCTGGCGCAGTATGATGCACAACCCCCTGGCTGGTCGCGGCAAGTACATGGCCCTGCGAGCCTATCTGCCATACGGGTTAGTCTTGTGGGAGGAGCAGAGGATCACGGCGATGGGACTGTGGTCGCCACTGGGCGATCCATGCGATTATTACCGGCGGTGGTATGCCTTGTTAAGCGAGGAGGAGGTACAGCAGCACAAGGCAAAGATTCCTTTCTGTGGGGACACGGAGTATTGAGGGGCGAAGCCACCTTATCATTCGACTAAACACTATCTATCATCCAAGCAAGCTCTTCAGAATAATCGTACACTCTATCAAAGTTCCCCAAAACACATTCCCACCCTAGCTCTTCTCGTAGGAAGCAAAACCCGTGAAGAACTCAACAGGGGCCGACTTCTTGTTGGAAATCTTGTACTGCACATTTTGCGTGTAATCGTAGGCAATCCTATACATTCTTCATGTTAGCCTGAATTTCCATGGACTGGAAGTGGAGCACATACGCAGCATAGGCATAGCTCTGCGGGTTACGCATGGCGTATCTCTTGGTGAACGCTTTCTTCCCACTGCCTCGGCTCTCGTAGCCCGTCATCCGTTGAAACTGGTATTCCTCTCCAACGGAAGGGTACATGAGACTGTCGCCCCAGACTAGGTGGAATAGCTCGTGGAATATGGCGGTGGCCTGGGGGGCAACCTCGGCGATCGAGGTAATGGTGCTTCCGGTGGGAGGCGTGTGGTCCTCAAACAAACTGTTGGCGACCGCGGTCACGTCAACCGCGTGCAGGCGGCCGCCCTGTAGGGCCTTGGGACCGAGGTTGATGAGCGCCTTGTCGGTATCCATGAGGGTAAAGGCAATGGCCGAGGAGCCTGAGTCAAAGACGCCGACGGTGGGTGAATCCCCCCATTTCTTGTCAAAGGTGTAGGACTGGATTGAGTCGCTCCAGTAGGGATACTGGTCCTCGGCCTCGCTCGCGGACTTGCCCTGCGCAACGGCGTCCTTCTCTGCGATGGTCTTCGCCTGCTGCTGCTTCTGCACCATCAGCGAATCATCCTCAATGAGCACATTGCCCGATCCATCGGCCTTGGGGATGGTCTCTCCGTCGGCGTTGCGCAGCTCGCTCTTCATATCCTGCCGGATGCGCCACCCGTCGCCGTACAGCAGAAACGGCTTCGTCTTCTGAGCGCCGTTGTTGATCTTCCCGCCACTGGTGAGATAGGTCACCACGCCATTGAAGCGCTTCTGGATGGTTTGGAGATCCGACTCGCTGGGGGACATGAACAGGGAGTTCATCAGTCGCTCTGCCTCCGCCTTGCCGGCGAGGGCGTCCGTCGCAGCGGCCACCCCGGCGTTGGCGAGCGTGAGCGCATCGGTCAAGAGAGTCTGCAGGTCCGTGTCGGAGGGCAAACCTCCCACATCAGCTGCGCCGGGATCCGTACTATACTTGAACAGTTTGCTGAGCTTCGCGAGATCGCCATCCGCAGCAACCGCGGGCTGCCACCAGGAACTGGTAGCAAGCGCCGCGATGAGAAACGCAGGAGAGAAGACTTGACGCAGCCGCACCATCCTGAGGGCATGTATTCGGACTATGCAGTTGGATAGGATTCAAGCAGTTGGGGTAATCATATTCTATTTGACTAGTGCATCGTCGAACGTGTGTCTCTATCAGGTAGCTCAGCGTCTTCCCCCTTTTCTTGGACATTACACATGAGCGAAATCCCACAGATCCCAAGCTAGTGCCTTGAATCCCCAGCCCCTGAGCTAGCCGTTGATTTGGTTTTCCATGGCAGGATTGGATTTGAATAGCCTCATCCTGCAGGCACTGCTGTATACATTGAGTCGGCTTATGTCCGAGGCTGTCCGGTACTAAAGATTTAGCCGGTCTCCACCCCGTGCAATACGCTATGCCAAAACCATCTCTTTGGCCCCCAAATTGTCCCTCTATTGCAATCAAAAGTGGGCCAGGGACTTCCACATGGTCTGATTTGGCCCGAGTCATGCAGGGACCGCTCGTCTGGATGCCCTTCAGGGTTCGATGCGGCTCTGATAAGGGAAATGAGTCGGGCCAGAATGCTCCCCCCCCTGTCACCTAACCTTTCCCAAATGAGGCCATGTCCGAAGAAGGATTCCCTGTGTGATTGCTGTTGATCCACTCTTTCCACTAACAAATCCTAGTTACTAAGTCTTTGCACGAGCCGAGTGTTGCTGCATCTCATCGGATGCAGCCTCTCAAGGCTTGTATGCAGGAAGCACACTTCAGGACTATTCGGACCCTCTCCCCCTGACTTGTATCGCACAGGGGGACTAACCATGAACCACCGTCTTTGTTGTCGCATTTATTGACACCTTTCTCCCTCGATCATCATGGGTAGTCACTGCGAATTACCTCCGCACAGGCACCATGGTGTCATTTCACAGTTTGGGCCTCCTGTGGCTCGGAGCGCAATGTGTTACATCGGCCTCTGCGCATACGCATAATAGCCATGGGCACTTCCATCAGCGCCACGAGCGACAACAGTCGTCACATCTGGCTGCCTCTAGTCACGCTTTTACAATGGGAGGAGGGCCTGCGACGACCGTCTCGATTCCGCGCAAGCCGGTGGGAACCAGCCCGCCCTTGCCTCCCGGATCACCTCAAGTAGGTTGCCTGCTGCCACCGCGAGAAAGAAGGACGCGAGACTAATCCAATGCAACAGCCGCCGCCCGCATACATGCGGGATAATGTCAACAACTTCTTCGGAAGTGCGCCGGACCAAGGATCAATGACTGGCCCGGTCCTCACGCCGCTCAATGCCACGGCCGATGCAAAGATGCACCACGCTCGTCGCTCGACTGACGACTACTGGCTATCGAGTCTCGGATCAGATGGCTCCTCCCCCTTTGCCCCGTCCGGATACCAGTTCTTCCGGAACGTTATGGACTTTGGAGCCGTCGGAGACGGCGTCACCGACGACACGGCGGCCATCAACCGCGCGGTCGCCTCCTTCAGCGCCTCCGATGATTCCACCCTGCGCTGCGGCGAGGATTGTGGCTCCTCCTCCACGCTGGGCGCCGTGGTCTACTTCCCCGCGGGCACATATCTCATCAGCACGCCGATCGTGCAGTACTACTATACCCAGTTCGTCGGTAATCCGAACAGCAAGCCGGTCATCCAGGGATCGGAGAACTTCACGGGAATTGCCCTGTTTGACTCGGACTTCTACATTCCCGGGGGAAACGGCTCGGAGTGGTACATCAACCAGAGCAATTTCTACCGCCAGATCCGCAACTTTGTCTTCGACATGACCAGCATGAACTGGACCAACACCGACAACAACCAGACCTACGTGCCGGCCGGTGTGCACTGGCAGGTCGGCCAGGCCACCAGTATCACGAACTGTGACTTCAAGATGGCCGTTTCCGCTGCTGGCCAAGCTGCCACGGCTGTGGGGATCTACATGGAGAATGGCAGTGGAGGAATGGTCTCGGATCTGACATTTACGGGAGGGTGAGTGTGCTGCATAATTCCTTGCTTTTCTCATACTCTGCTAACACGAAGGAACTATTCAGAAACATCGGATTCCTCGCGGGCTCGCAGCAATTCACCGCGATCAACCTGCAGTTCACCTCCTGCCTGACGGCGATCAAGTCCGTCTGGAACTGGGGAATCAACTGGAAGAACATCTACGTGTTGTCGTGCTACATCGCCATCGATGCTACCGAGTACTCGGGGACCGGCGACCAGGGAACCGGGTCGATCTCGGTCGTTGACTCTCACTTCAACGGCGTGCCCTACGGCATTACGGTGGCACAGAAGGATGGCTGGCAGCCCCATATCGTGTTGGACAATCTGCTGGTCGAGAATTCCGCTGCGGTGGTCATGATCAGCGGAGGCGACACCATCCTTGAAGGGTCCACCGACGCCTTGTACTTCAACTCCTGGTCCATGGGCTACCGCTACCTGCCTGATGGCTCCGGTGGCAAGCAGACCGGCTTCCTTGATCCCGCGCCGGAGAAACCGGAGGCCCTCCTCGACAGCTCGGGGGCTTACTATCGCCGGGCCAAGCCGCAGTATGAGAGCGAGACCCCGATCGTCGCAACCAGCAATGGAATCTCCAATGATGGAACCGGTGATCAGACGGCTGCAATCAACAGTCTCCTAGCGAGCAATGTGGGCTCCGTGGTGTACTTCCCTGCTGGTGTATATCTTGTGGAAGATACCGTCAAGGTGCCGGTTGGAAGTAAGATCATTGGATCTGGATGGAGTCAGATCATGGGCACGGGGTCTGCCTTCGAGGACGAGGAGAGCCCCAAGGTCATGGTCCAGGTCGGTGAGGAAGGTGATGAGGGTGTCATCGAGATCACAGATATGCTTTTCACGGTCAAGGGTCCTACGGCTGGTGCTGTCTTGGTGGAATGGAACGTCCACGAAAGCACCCAGGGTAGCGCTGCCATGTGGGACAGCCACTTCCGCGTCGGAGGTACCACTGCCAGTGACTTAGGGCTGGATAACTGCCCCACCGGAGCCGGAGTTAGCAAGGACTGCATGGGAGCTGCTCTCTTGATGCATGTCACCTCGTCTGCTTCCGGCTATTTTGAGAATGTCTGGGGCTGGGTGGCTGATCACGATCTCGATAGCAAGTTGAACGCGGCTGCATCCGAGAGCACTGCCGGAATCCCGTTGAATGTGCAGACTGATGTTTCCGTCTACGTGGGTCGTGGGTTCTTGATCGAATCCCAGGGCCCGACCTGGCTGTATGGCACCGCCAGTGAGCACGCGCAGATGTACCAGTACCAGCTGGCCAATGCGGCCAACGTCTACTTGGGACACATGCAGACCGAGACTCCCTACTACCAGCCTTCCCCCGACGCCACAGGGCCATACACGGCTGGGGTGGGTAACTTTGCCTCGGATCCAACCTATGACAACTGCGACGAAGACGACTCTTCCTGCAGAGGGGCTTGGGCTCTGCGGGTGATCAACTCGACTGATGTACTAATTTACTCGGCCGGATTCTATTCCTTCTTCCAGGACTATGATGAGGGTTGCATCGACACGGAGACCTGCCAGCTGGCCCTTGTCGAGACCAACTACGCCGATGGACTGTACATCTACAACCTGTTTACCAAGGGTAACGAGCAGATCGTAAGCCCAGACGGCAGCCTTGCTCCGCTGATGTTCAACGACACGACGCGCAACGGCTTCACCAGCGAGATTGCCGCGTGGCTGGCACTCTCCACCGGCGGCTCAAATATCGGGTCCAACGGCAACGATTCGGGCATTGTCTACATTGACCCCATTATCTGGACCGAGTCAGACAATGACACTATTGTCCAATGCTATCCCCCGTGCACCTACGTGCTGCCGCCCACCACTTTGTCTTCGGCCACGACCTTTGTCTATCCGACCCTGACAACCGAGATCGGTGTTGGGTATCAGGTGCCGTATACCTTTACATACAACGGGACCATCAGCACAACCACCTCATATATCATGTCCACGACCACTTCCACAATCACCATCCCGGATGTGGTGACGTCTATCGTGCCCTTCTATAACGTCCCGATCGGTAACGGCACAACTTCCACCGTTATCACGCCGGAGCCCAGCATCATCCAGACCGCATTCAACATCACCTGGCCGGCCATGACCTACAACGGAAGCATCTACTCAAGCACCGTGGTACCCTTCTACCCCCCTCCCTGGCCCGGCACGACCGTCCCATCGGACGTGCCCACTTCAGCGACCGAGCCAACAAAGACAACGACCTCGTCCACAACCACGGCTGTTGGGATAATCATCCCCCCCGGAGGCACGCACCACGTCACGCACCACCGTGGCGAACCCAAGCCCAAGTGTACCAACAGGGCCGTGTGTGGTGAGAGCTGCCATGAGGGGATCTTGGGAGGCTTGAACGCCATCTTCAATGTTTGTGAGCATTGCTGGACTAACTGCGGAGGAGGTAAATGTACGTATCATTGTTTATTCAAAGCTTTGTACGATGCCCTTTTCGCCTGACTAACTGACAATCCAATCTGCAGCGCCGAACAAAAACGGCAATGACCCTAACAGACCGAAACCTGTGCCCACCGGCACCCCGGGCGACGAGGACGAGGAATGCGAGACCTCGACCTACAGCTCCTGCAACGTGGCCTGCGTGACCCAGGCCTCTACGAGCTCCTGCTCTACCTCGTGCAAGGGTAAGCCAAATACTGTGATCTATGTCATAGCTTCACCGACTGACGATAGCAGATGTGGTCGGCTGCGACACCACCGCCACCACAACCTCGGACATCTACTCGGCCGCCCCCGTGCTCCTCGGAGGCGTCGAGCCGTGGGACGACTACAACGACGACATCTACACCGCCGACTGGGATGCCGCATGGTCCATCTACAGCGCCTACGGAACAGCCACAGCCGCTCCCGGGGCAGCGACGACCACGACGGGGCCCACGGCCACAGCCGGACAGCCCAGCACCACGACCGCCACGACCACCGGAGCCAACAGCTCCCCAACCCTAGGCTGCACGCCGCACCAAGACCCGGACTCCGGCAGCTCCGACACCAACTGCGTGTGCCCGGGCTACGACGGGTACCTGCCGACCCTCGGGGGCTCCGCAGGTCTCTGCGGCTACACGGCCCTCCCCTCCAGCACCTCCAGCACCGCGCCACCTACCACCCAGAACAACAACCCTTATCCCTTCACCTCGACCGACTTCTGGGGCGACGTCATCGCCTGCGAGTCCTCCACCACCACCAACTACGCGGGCTACGACTTCACCTTCTGCGCCGGCTCCAGCACCACCGAGAAGTCGGTGACGGTCACGCAGACGGCGACGATCGCCACCTCGGTGCTGAGCAACCTGTGCGAGGGCGGCGACTACTACTCGTGCGTCTCCGACATCATCTCGTTCGGCATGGCCTCGTGTCCCGGTCTGCCCCGCGCCCATGCCGCGTGCCAGCGGCAGGTCTTTGAGAACGCCCAGCTCGAGTGCGAGCGGCTGTGTACCATGACCGCCACCTCGTATACGACCACCATTACCACGGTGCCGGCGTAGGTGCTTTGTCTATGCGGTTTCTTCTTCTCTAATGGGGTTGGAAATAGGCTTGGAGATATTTTAGTTGGTTATGGGATTTAGCTTTACTTCGAATTGTATAGTATTGATTTTAGACTTTGTGTTCACAATGCAGGAGTCGGCAATAGTTTGGGAAGCAGCACTCAACGGCCGTTACTAGACTATGCTAGACAGATATCGTCGTTACAGTGAACAATAATAACCAGTGTTTATGCCTTATATCCCAGAACCATCCACAGGCCGTCAGAAAATCCAACCACCCTAAGAAGCGTCCGGCCAACACTCGACAACAGCACTTCTCTCCCCATCAACCGTCAAAACCACACTCGCCCCCCACTCCAACGGATTCCCCTCATACACCACAAAATCCCCTCCATAACCACCGTCACCACCCCCACCCCCACCCCCCTCAACACCCGCACGACTGCCCACATCCAAACGCAAAATCTCGCGCACCTCCCGACTCACCAAATCCACCGCCCTCTGCTCCGACAGCCCGGCCACCTTGGCCGCAAACCCGGCATCGACCCCGAGATTATGAATCCCGGAATCACTCCACCCGGCCTGCGCCAACCCGACCTTCACTCCAGCCTCGAGCAGCACCTTCAATCCCGCCTGAGTCAGCGGATCGCCCACCACCGCGTCCTTCACCTCCCACGTATCCGGGTTCGGACGGAGGCCCGTGAACAGCACCGGGACGCGGGCGGCGGCCAACTCGCGCGCGACGAGCGGCGCCTCGGTCGCGCCGAAGAGGATGAGGTCGGTGGCCGGGAAGTCGCGCTTCAGCTGCACCAGGTGCAGGATGTCGTGGTGGTTGAGGACGTGGATGATTAGCGGGAGGGTGCCGTTCGCGACCTGGGTGTACACTTCTGTGTCTTGGGGGTGTTGTTCAGTCGAGGAGGAGGAAGGGGGGGAGGAGGAGGGGTGGTGACTTCCTGCGAGCAAGCGGCGGAGGAGGCCGATCTGCGAGGAGATGGTGGGCGTGCTTGCGGTCTTGCCGATTTGGCCGATGTGGATGTGCAGGCCTACGTCTGGCTGGAGGATTGCGCGGTCGAGGAGGGTTTCCGACTCGCTGGTGCTGGTTTCATCGGCTGGGATGTTGTTGGTCGAGCTGGGACTCACTTTGAAGGCGACGGAGACTCCGCGCAGGAAGACGGGGACGTCGGCCGTCACGAGCGGGGCGGTGATGGCGGTGGTGATGCCCCCCAGTTTCGCGCGTGCGAGGTCCTTGCTCCCCCCCGGGTGGAGGCCGTGTTTCGCATAGATGATGGTCTTGGGTGTTGACCCTGACACAATACCGTCGCCCGTGGAGGGCTCCATGATGATGTCCTGAAGGCCCAGGCCGGTGGTTACGGCGGTTAGGCCGGGGAGGATGTGGCCGTTTTGGAGGTGGATTGCTGTGCTGTCGGCGGCGGCGGCGGCGGCGGCGGCGGCGAGACACTCGCTTGCGGGGCCGAGGCAGGCAATGCGACCGGCGGAGAGGACGAGGGTGAGGTTGTCCGCGTTGGACTGCGGGTGGAGGTCGGGGATTAGGGCTTTGGTGATGCCCGTGATGATGAGGTTGCCGTCTGCGCGGGAGGCTTGGGCGCACACTGAGCTTCTCTCGGTGAGGATCGGCCGTTGACGGCTTGAGGGGGCACACAGTGTAGTTTGGATGGACTTGGCCTGGTCAATGGTCGTGTTGAGAGTGGCGCGTCCATCAATGTAGACTTGTAGAGGCGTGGCGCCGTTGCCGAGTGGGTGCGAGTCCCAGACGACCAGATCAGCGTCGTAGCCCGGTCGGGCGTAGCCGATGCGGTGGGCCAGCTCCAGGGACCGGGCGGGAATACTTGTCACAGACTGCAGGGCCTGAGCCTCGGGGAGACCGAAAGAGTGCGCTTCTGCGGCTTGAGATCTGCTGCAGGTGAGCCCCGGGTACGTGTAGCATAGTTGTATCGACTTACAGGAGATACTTTGCGTTGAGAAACTCATTCGAGCCGTCCTGACGAATTCGATGAGCCATTGAAAAGTCTCAACTCCGTAAGGTGTCCTAGCTTACCGACTTATAGGCCACCGGGACCCCATGTTCAGTGAGAATTCTGCCCGCATAGAGGGTAGCATCGTATGCTTCGTGCTTGTAATGCGCAAAGTGCGAAAATGTGGCGACGGTGATGTTCCTGCTTCAGCTCAGCCACAACGTTCAGTGATGAAGAACACGGTTCACCTACTGGCCACTGTTCTTAATCGTGTCTGGAACCCTCCAGGCTTCCAGCGCGTGATGGAAAGCCTGGATACGGAACCCAAACTCTTCACTGTGGCGAAGCATGGCCTCGATGTCCTCACTCTCGTAACAATGAATGTTAATGCCCACCTGCCCGCGCAGCATCGCGACCGATGACTCCAACGCGATATCAGTCGGCAAGCCTCCGTCCTTCACGAGGTCCGCGATCGCCCGCTCATCGCCCGTCTCATAGGCCGCGGCGGCGGCCAGACACCAGTCATCCTGCTTGACAAGAAGCTGTCGCGCACTGTCCATCTGCTTGCGGAACAGGAATGCGTTTCCCATGCGCGTGTGGCCGTAGACGTCCTTGGGGTTCTCGCCACAGGCCATCTTCATGTACCGCCGTCGTTCCTCCTTGGGCACGCCATGCTCGAGCAGGAGCTCTTCCACCAGCTCCTCCCCGGCCTCGTCACGCCGGACGTTCTTCACGGGCACGGCCTCGCCGCCCATGATGTTGGCGGAGCCAGGCAGAATCAGCGACGAGGTGACGCCACCGGAGGCGACGATCGCAGCGACCGGGTCGTAGGCTTTCAAGGCATCCAGGGCCCTTACGTAGGGGGTCAGCGGGCCGAAATCCGGGTGTACCTCGTTGACATCTTCGACCGCGTGAACGTCCGGGCTGGAGCCTGCGATGTGGTGCGAGTGCATGTCCACCAGTCCCGGGGTGACGAATCGGCCTTCGAGGTCGAGGACGAGGGCCTCGTGGACTTCGGGCATCGAGTCATGTTGAGCGGTAGGAATGATGTGTGTGATGATGCCTCTGTGGAAGGTGATGTCGACGGGGTGGTCGAGGGTGTGGTCGCCATCGAAGAGGGTCGCGTTGCGCAGAACAACCGCTTGGCTCTGCCCCGTCTTGGCGCTCCAACGTGGGTTGCCTCGATTGAGCCCTGTCGGCTGCTCGTATTCAACGGGCGGGCGGTGCAACGCAGAACATGCTTGAAGATGATGTTCTAGTTGCTCCAGACGGTGCTGCGACAGCTTTTGCGTTGCCGAGTGGTCCGAGGATAGCAGTCGAGGGAAGAGGGCGAACTGGGTCCACAGGAAGATGATCATTGCGGGGATGAGATACACGCCCCGTCGTCTGAAGCTGGGCGGCGGTGGAGACCGGCCAAGTTCAGCCGGTTGGCCCATTGGGATGTTGCTCTTCAATTGATGGGATTTATGTTTATCACTGTGTCTGAAAAAGGACAGAGGGACAGAATGGGTGGTTGTTGGGGGAAGAAGAGTGTCGGCGATCGGCTGGGGTTTTGTTGTGTCAAACGCGCTTATCGTCCTCGATATGACGTGCTGCTCTAGCGCTAATAACAGTATCTTGCATCAGTCGCGCCTTATTAATCCAAGCAAGGGACAGTAACTATCTGGAAGTGCTGGACTCGATGAGTCAGAAATTGACCGAAAATCATATGAACTGGTGCAGGGATGATGCCCTCCGGATTCCGCCGGAGATCCGAGACGCTCATTGCGGCCGCCAAGACCGTGATATCTACGCAGTAGCAACCAGCAATCTTGGTGTTGAGCCAGTATATCAATATGATCTGAAAGCCTGACTACTAGGAGACTCGGAGACGTGTCATTTGTAGTCATGGAGGCATGGCCACGAGGTCAATCATGTCGGATTTCGTACACTGTGCTGCGTACTTTCAATGCCAACAGAAAGGGCATTGGCGGCGTCTACTGCGTACAGCGCGTCTCGGCTTCTCGTCGGCTGGGCGGCTCGACCCGACTCCCAAATCAATTGCATCAATAGAGTCTGTCAGCAAAGCTGCCATGGCAGGTTCAGGTTTTCCGCTCTAATGTCGGCATGATTTACACGTGACTTCTTAGTGCTAAGATAGGAATGCATAATAATAATAGTCTAAGTGACTTGGAATCTCTTTCAGGTATTGCTGTGCCAGTCCTGAATAGACCGCCTTTTGTGTTAAGCGCGCTAAACTACTTTTAGACCCTGGAACGTATCCACAACCTTCCATGGCAGGCTTGCTGACAGTTTCTAGTTCCAACTCAAAGAGATAACTTGGTGTTCGCTAGGGGTTCGAAAAGCTTCAGATAAACCATTCAGTCGCTAGGCTTGGAGATAGATATGACATTAGTGGCAAGTTGTACTTGAGCTTGACAGGGAAGATATCTACCATCGGAATCCTAGAACATTCACCACTGATCGAACAACCAACGAACATCGAATTTAGAAGAGGGGGTGGGTGTATTGTCTCCCGGGAAGTATTTGAAGCGTACGCAAGTGAAAAGACAAAGCATTCACAATCTTTCTTTCAAGACTGCCGCTGCCTGCAAATCTTGTTTTGCCCTCTCGAGCTCAGCTTCTGTGGGCATATTCACCACCATGAGGTACAACACGTTTTCCTGTAACAGGCGCTTCTGGGGCTTTCCCCTCAAGCCCCGAGCCCTTTGCTCGTCCAGTTTGCGCTGCGCCTTTTCCCACCTCCGCTTCGCACGGAGCCTGTCAGAGTCAGATGAGATCACTCTAACCACATGAACACTGCCGAGATGAAAACTCACGGCTCTGCTCGCAGCTTTCCCCCGGTGGTGAGGGTAGCCAGGTGTTTGTTTCGTTGATCATTCGGGTCACTCAACTTAGACTTGAACTGTGGGGCTGCATCGCCCATGGCCTTCACGAGTGTTGAGTTAGGATTGTTGAATGCCTACGTGACCGTCGTATCAGTCGGCGGGTGAAAACCAAAGCAACGGCTGCCTCAGAACTTATTACAAAGTCGGCCTGTGCGCGACGGTCAAAATAGTCGGCAAGCCACTTGCCCGTGCCCTTGGCCTTATCCTTGAATCTGAGCGCCGCGTTGCTGGCGGACTCCCTGCCCTGCGCATACTCGTCGATCATCTCACGCGCCACCCGCTCGATCTCTGGAAACACCAACGGGGCACACATGAACCGCATCTCCGCCTCGCCACGAGTCGTCCCACTCGTTTCACGGAGCCGCTTCGTCGCCTTCTCCTTCCACCCTTCTTCCCCCTTACCCTCCGCAGAAGAGCCGGAAGAACCACCGTATTTGGCGACCGCCTGGGCCCCCAGATCCACCGTCTTTGTCCCTACCTCCGTATTTCCCGGGATGTAGACTCATACTGCACAATCAACACATACAAGCCGCGCGGCATGAAGAGCTCTCGATTCATCTGATCTAGGAATCTATTCGTCCGCCACCGCTCCTGCATCTCCCGCCCGGCCATGGCAGCAATCTGCACCGCCTGCGCTACGCCCGCAACCAGCAGATCGGGATAGATGCCCGCGACCCCGGCAGCGATACTGAGGACCTCCAGAACAGGCGACGCCTGCGCATGCGTGTGCAGATCCTTTAAGAACCGGAGAAAGGTGGTCTGATCGACGCCCGCATTCTGCAGAACGGGGGTGTAGGCGCGCACGAACCCGCGGGTTTTGGACCGCGGGCGGCGCTGCGGGAGAATCACGGGGAAGGGGAGCTTCTTGCGGGTGGTTGTCGCTGCTCTTGCTGTTTGGTTCCCGTGGGTGTCGTTGTTGTTGTTGCTACCTTCCTCATCTTCCTCATCAGAGGTCATCATCTCATCCAGTGCCCAGTCCTGCTCGTCGTGGTCGACCCCATCGTCATGGACGAGGGTATGCGTGGGTTCCTCGTCCTCGTCGGCGGGGAGCGCATGCCCGCTCGCAATCAGTCGGTCGGCGTGCTGCGGCGACAGTTGGACTAGCACGGGATCGTTCTCGTGCTTGGCCTTCTTGATCCGGTGCTCGTTGATGGCTTCGCTGGCGAGTCCGAAGGGCGTGGCGATCAGCTTGACGACTTTGCCGATCGCGAGCAGGTGGATGGGTTGGTGTTTGAAGGCGTTGACGTTGTACCCGTCATGCGGGTCGTAGCCGTCTTCGTAGCGGGCCATGTTTGGGGATGAATGTCATTTGATGGTTTCTGTGCTTTGAGACCTCTGGGTAGGAGAGGGGAGAAGTTCGAATTATATTCGTTTCGAACTTGGCTCCATCTCGAAGGGCAACATATTCAACCTGGCGATGATGCATACTGTTCAAGTGTTGCATACTGCATACTCTATTGAGCCATGATTGCGAGGGGCTGTGCGTCCTCTTCTTCTCCGCGAGTGGATTCGGCTCAGCACGCTATGTAATGATTGTCCAATCAGCATGCTCGAAGTGGAGCACCGGGGCTATAGCCCAGCCCTATATAAATGGCCGATAACGGCTGGCAGAGCCACATGGCGGACGTGCCCAGCGATTAAGCTTCCTGAAGGGGTCCAAGCCAAGGGTGCTTGGTAGCCTTGGTTCGGTCTATCGGCAGGGTCCCGGCCGAGTCCTTTCGTCTTCTGTCTGATTGCTTGCCATCTTCAGGGGTTGGCATCCTTCCGACCTGGGAGGGAGGGTGCATCGGAGGTGAATAAGCCACCTGCGTCAGTCTACGTTGATCTTTGCTCTACAGTATCGGAGCCCCGTGCTCTGAACATTGCCCATTGACGTGGTATACTGGATCCATGAGCAGATGCCTTTGTGGTGAGGTATAACCATCCACAGGAAGAGGAGGTGGAGTGGAAATGGAGTCTTTAGCGCACGTGTTGAGGATGCGGTGTACTTGCTTGATCGGAAGAACTCGGAAGAGATGAGAGAAGTGAAAATGAAAGTGTACGATGGCTCCAGGACAGCCCGCTGATGCCCTGCTACAACAAGGAATCATGGCCCCACATTTTGGCTGCATCGTTGGGAAGGGAATGAGTGAGGAGACCTGAACGCCTCCGACGCAAGATCAATTCTCTTCCCTCACCTCGACCGCTACCCTCTTGACCCCGACCTGCACCAAGCCCTCATAGCGCGGTCCACCCACCCCTTCCAGCGTTTCTACACAACATCATTAGCAACAAATCAAACCATCACCAATGTTATGTCCATAGAAAATACTCACGTGTCAATGCTTTCACCAGGGTGATCGACGTCGACGCCAACAGCGCCAGCGGGACGATCTCCGCAAATGTCCACGCCGTCTTCTCTTCGCCCAGTCGATACCACTCCTCGATCTCCATCCCCGCCCGCAACGAGTTATACGTCTGGTACGCCCAGACCGTCAACGCCAGGGTCGCCACCGAGACCGTCGCGGCCAGAAACAGCTTCACCCAGCGCAGCCACCGGTGCAGATCCACCTCCCGCGCCTCCAGCCAGTTGACCCCGGCAATCACAGCAGTGAAGCCCATGAAAACGATCAGAGCGATGTACTGCCCGAACGCACTGGACCGCCCAGCCTGGGAAAAGATCTCCGTCCCGCTGGTATTGGTTTTGGTCGAGTTGAGGTGGGTGACGAACTCCCCCGCGTCAGCGAGGCCGAGCCAGTCGCTGGCATTCATGTTCATGAAGCAGCAGGCGGGCATGATGGCCAGCGAGCTGGGGCGGGTGGGGAAGGCGGCGCGGTTGCGGGCGGAGAAGATCATGCTGATGAGGACGATCTGCGTGATCAGGGCCGCGCACCGGTAGAGGGCGAGGAGCTTGCCCTTGTGGATGAAGGTGGGGATGCTGACCAGGGTGTTGAGGTGGGTGACGAAGGACATGAGCAGCATCGCGCAGACCAGGTCGTAGTGATAGGCGGAGATGGTGCAGGCTTGCTCGCTCAGGGCGAAGATCAGCGCGAAGCCGGTTGTGAGTTGTTGGTCGCTGAGGGTGTGCAGGAGCTGCTCGATGGTGTGGGCGATGCGGCGGTAGTATCTCGTTCTGTTAGGGGGTTGTATCATTAGCGAGGGTTCGAGGTGGTGAGCCTTTTCGGGTCTTCGCAGGGTTGGTACATACTCTCTTATCGCGTTGTCTGTGTCTCTGTACTGGTTCCAGTAGATGCAAGCCTTGTCGATGAGCAAGACGAAGGCGGCTCCTATGGCCACGACTGAGGTGATGATGAAGGCTTTGACTAGCTGCATATGGTCAGTTACTGTTCAGCTTATGCACGGTTGAGCAATGTACCCCAGGCCCGGTGATAGACGTGTTTGGACTCAGCTTTTGAGAAGTGGTCAGGTCGGTAGCATTGGTGTACAGGGCGAAGTCGCAGGTCACATTGTGACCCTGTGCTTGGCAACTCGACTGACTGCTTGGGATGTTCCAATCTAGCATTCTGATGGGTGATTGTTGAATCAGACTCTATATCGTGGTAGTAAGACAGCAATGCGAGCCCAAATTCAGTACTTCACGAATCTCCTACAACTTTATATTCATTATCGACACCATTTGCCATGCTGTTGATGGCTTGATGGCTCAGTCTCCAGCCGGACGATGCGGACATGAAATCGCAAGGCTGCCAAGAGCATCTGACTGCCATTGTGATGTTGTTTCAACTCAGTGACTGGCCGCCACAGTTCGTATTGTAAGATTTGATGCCGGCAGCCTGGATTGTGCCTGGGACTATACCTTTCTGGTAGACTCCGCCCGATGCACGTTCAAACCCCGAAGAGACTAACCGAAACAGGCTTCATGTTGCTAGCGCGGTGCCTGAAGGATTCGGAGCCATGGAACTCTCCATAGCCCGGGCCCGGCCCCGAAGACCAGTTTCCCGTTTGGGCAACTACTGCCCCATTCTGATTAGATCTGCATACGGTCTGGTGGCTGAACTGAGGTGAATTCAGTCAACGCAAGGCTGAAACTGCCTGAGTGTCACCCACACTGCGGAAAAGCCGGACTCAATTCTATATCGTCACAGTATTATAACCAGGGAACAGTAGCCCAGTCAATAGGCAGTTCCAGGGGCAATCGTGTGGCTTTTGTGCTACATTCTGCTTTTCATCAGAGATTCGCTCTCTATGTTCGAGACGGTAGAAGTATAATGTTTCCTCTGAGCCCCAATTGTTCTGTATACTGGTATTTCCTTATCATATGTATCAAACTTGTATCTTCTCTACTGAACAATATTCTCCGACATACACAGCCCCACAGTAATCAGTGGATTCTACTCCGAAACCCAAGCGAACTCATCTGTCGACAGACCCTGACAGGGCTTATGGATGCGAGCGCCGGTATAGCTAGGGCCCATTCTCGGTGTTGGAGATGGTCTCCAGCACCGCATTCTCCGTCTGATTGTACACGATGTAGAAGTCGATGCTGTTGGCAGGTGGGCCATACTCGAACCAGGTACAGCTGACATAGTATTCACTGTAGTCACCCAGTCCCTCCGACGGATTAATGATGCTCTTCAGCCACTGCTGCTTCTGGGCCGTGGTAGCGGCGCCGTTGTTCAGCTGTGTGCCGGTCTCGGCGATAGCAAACGGCAGGCTATAACCCTTGGCATAGGTGTCGTAGAAGCTTCCATAGGCTGTGGCAAAGTCCGGAAGAGCATCACCTTCAGGGTAGTAGTCCATTCCCACGATGTCGACGTACTCCTTACCGGGCCACCAAGGTGCGATGGGTTCCGAGTCCGTGTCCACATTCGGCGACCAGAACATGTAGATCATGTCGTTGGACTCCGTCGCTGTATACATATCTTTCCAGGTCTGGTTGAAGGCGGCGTAGTCACCTGGCGTTTGGCACAAACGGTTAGGCTTGCCCCTTGCCAAGAAAATGTTGGGGAGAAAGTACTTACGGCCGCCAGGATAAACCACGACATTAGGATCGGCGTAGTAGTTCATTTCATGGGCATAGCGAAGCCAGACGGTGACACCCTTGCTGGTGAAGGTGTCTTTGAAGTAGGAAGCGACTGATTCACACAGCTCAGGCGTGATGTCCTCCCAGTCGACCTTCGGCATCAGGGAAGCGATCAGAACGGCCCCGGAGGCAATGATATCGTCCACCGGGTATTGATCGTTGCCATCATATGACCCGGATTCCACGTTGTCCTGGGTGATCTGTGAGTAGACATTGTAGCTATATCGAAGGTGAGCCTTGCAATCGTAAAATGCTTTTACCGCACTCACGTGGCGCCCTTTTGACCCGTCGCCTCGTTGAGGTCGGTCATGGTGACCCGGGGGCTGTAATTGGGAGCCCAGCCGAAATAGATACCATCATAGCTGACCATGGAGTCGGCCTTGATGCCCAGGCTTTCACCCAAAAAGTTCGACTCCTGGTTGGATTTAGCGGGTTATAGAAGCCAGTGTTAAGACTGCAAGCCTACCCTTTTGTGACCGATGTCGCTAAGTGGGGAACCGACACAGCCACTAACGGCCAAAGCTATTAGGGGAATCGAGGTAAGACCGCGCATTTTGCCGACGAGTGTTCTGTACACGAGGATGTATTGAGCTGCAATTGTTGGAGTGGTAGCTCTCAACCCGGAGGTCGAGTCCATTTATACTGCTGGAATAAAATGGCCTAGTATGCTGGTAGCCAACAATGTCTCCACAGGGCTACGCTAAAGCTGAGTCGTAAGAGTATGCGAGTCAAGCCGGAGAACCCTGGATTTGAAGATCGAGTCATGTCGACAGCTGAAGACTCTGATCCACCAATCGCAACATGCTTCTGCTTTGGGAAGACCAATCAACGCCTCGTGCCTGGGCATGGCGTTGATCCTTCATTTTCGTCCGGACCTTAGGGCTTCACTGCTAAATCCTGAAGACAGCCCGACTGTCCCGTGCTGGCGATGGGGCCATCGCCCCCAACAAACACCTTGTTTTTTTCTTATCCATCGTTCCCTGTCATACCCTTATATAGAAAAGGCGCCCCCACATCCATGTTCCAGTCCCTACCACTGAGCCCTTTTTCCTGGTTTTGACCAGGCAAAGTCCCAACAGCACGATGTCGAGCCACAACAGAAAAAGTTATTTGCGCGCTCTTCTTGCATTATCGCTGTCGATCACAGCCCGGTGCACAACAACCTACTACATCAACAAAGTAGCAGACTACTCATCGTTATCACAATGTGCCGTCGCCCCGCTCAGCAGCGTCGTCCGGGACATGGTGTCTGGCTGCGGTGACGGGGGCAAGTACACATCCTACAGCTGCTTCTGCACCGCCAGCTCCTCCGAGTTCAATCACATCATCTCCTCCGGCGTCGGATCCAATTGCGGGACAAACTCAGAGAATCAGGTCTCGACCGCGTTGGAGGTCTTCCACAGCTACTGCATGTTCAATGCGACCGCGACAACGACGACCGAACCAGTGCAGCCTGCCAGCACATGTACTTACCTCCTTTCTTGTCCTTCAACCGTGCCATTGAATCCCACTAACATGTTCCCAGCGACCACAACAGCATCGACCCTGTCAGCTACAACTTCTACCACAAGCCCTGCCGCCCCAGCTGCCTCCGTAACAACCACACCCAGCCCTGTCGCCACATCAACATCAGAAACCGCCAGCATCCCATCCACACCATCGCCCACCCAGGCCCAAACACCCGCCAGCAAGTCCTCTACTTCGCTAAGCACAGGCAGCAAGGCCGCAATCGGCGTCTGCGTCCCCGTCGCAGCCATCAGCCTCGCTGCGGCCGCGTTCCTGCTGGTCCGCAAACGGTCGCGTCGCGCTCAGCGGGACCACAACGGGATGATGCTGGACTCCAACGCGCCCACCCCGCGCGAGCCCCACAGCCCGACCGAGATGCGGCCGGAGATGTGGCAGAGATACGAGCTGCCGGAGGACGCGAAGCGAAAGAGCACCCACTTGTACGAACTGTCCGGGGATGGACCGTCGGCTGGGCGGTGAGATAGTTGCATGAATAGACCCTGAGACTATGTAGTGGTCAGCTCTATAATGTTGCTGTTGCTTGTTGGTGCAATCATATCTCTTTCTTTGTTTTCTGCTGGCTAGCATAGGGTGCGGATATGGGGTACGCGGATTCCTTGATTTAGTATTCATTTATTTAATGGGTCGTGTGCGTTTGTACTTTAGTATATTTAACGGCAATGAGATATAGGACTCCGATCCAATTGCACGGATAAGATGTTGAAGACATGGGTAGTCTAATTACCGGTGTTGTACTCGTGTGTTTTTGAGGATGGAGTGGATAGACCCTTCCGGGGCCGACGCTCACGTCAGTCGTATAGGGTTCATGTCCTCCGAGGCCCCGGAAAATCCGGACGAGCATGCTCACCGGGAAAGTTAGCCAGAGATGGATGCAGCTCATTGGTGGGTGTTCGCTAATCGGGTCCTTGGCATGGAGGCAAAATCATTATCCATCAAGTTAGACAGCAGACTATAGCAACGATGATATACCTCCTGTTGACCTATCGACGCGACAAGCCTCCACGTCCCTCCCACGACTTGAAACGCCCGGCCGAACGTCACGTGGAGCAAATCTTCCGTATCCTCTTTGAGTTTTCGAGTAACTTTCCTGAGTGGATCAGGGAAACAGAAGACAGGGACCGCTGTGCCGGATGTTCTTGAGTGTAGAGGTGGTTAGTGGGCACGTCACCGGCCAGCGGCGAAGGATGTTTGGCGCACCTGTTTCCAGATTGCGCCTCCAAAATCCCTGCCCAGGAGTTGCTCTGCGAGTCTTAAATCAACAATAATCCATTGAGCCTTCAGGAAGGTCACCCGGAAAATGCCCTCAGCACGCCCTGCTCGACATTATTATACATCCTCATGGGAAACCGGATAAGCTTGCGTGCGTTGACTCCTTTTGCATTGCACGCAAGCTTGGCACGCAAGGTCCCAGCTTAGGCATATTTGAGTATGCTTGGCAGTTCCACTTTTTGTCTGGGCGCTTGGCCGTTCCAATCCTAAAGAGATTCGTTTGATATGTCAGATCACAACATGATAGTTTGAACCCTCTCTATACCAATGCCGGGACAGATGAAGGACTAACACCACGTACCCTATAACTCTTGCGCATCGCATTTATCCGCCGAACATACCGAACATCGACTCGTCAGCCAGGAAAAACTCGTCCGGCAGAGCATCCAACGTCGAAGGATCCCATGCTTCAGCCTCCAGTGGCCAATGTAGACCCACATCCGCTATAGAGCCCAGCCCTACTAGATAGTGATTCAGAGGTGTGGTAGTGAAGATGGAGACAGCGGCCTACTCACCAGCAGGCGCGGCCCCATCCGCCGCCCGGTCCTCCGCTTCGAGGAGATTCGCCACCGACTCCAGCCGGCGCATGAGCGACCTCAGCAATTTCAACGGTCGCTTCAGGCCATACGAGCATCCTTTCTGGTACTCCAGCAAGGCGGACCAGAAGAAACGGATGCAGTGCACATCCTCGTCGACGCTGCGGGTGTGCTGGAGCATGACGACCACGGCACAATACGTCGCATAGGCTATGCCGTACTGCGCGCGTCGGAGGGCGAAGGTTTGTTGGTAGGCCTCGACGAGCTTCCAGATCTTCAGCGCGGCCTCCCGACACCACTGTCGGGACTTTTCTGCTGAGGCGGGGGGCAAGGCGAAGGGGAAGTGACCGGGGGGCAGGAATGCTTGTTCTGTCAAGATGACGAGAGTCCAGTGGAGAGCACTTTGGGAATGAGTGTTAGGGTTCAACGCGGGTGCAAAGTGTTCTGTACACTTACTGTGGGGTGAGCTGGTGCGGCGGGCGCGTTGCGTCCAGCCCCGGTTCGAACCGTAGCGAGGCAGGGAGTGTAGAGCTCAGTAGAATAGCAACAAGCAGTGAGCAATTTATAGAACTGAAGGGGCCTTTGGCCTGGTCAGAGAGAGAGATATCGACTCGTTCCCTGTTTTCCTGCGATGGAAGAAACCAGGTCGCTGTCAGGAATCTTATCTACTTGTGGAATTTAGAGCCGGCGAATAGCAAGGTAACCCCTTGTGGAAAGAGACGAGTTGATGGATGGGTTGAGTCGAGCTGACTTGGATCACTATGATTATTAGGGGCATAGTGTGACTATAGCGTAGCCCTTCGTGCGGAGGTGATTAGATATGATGTCAATCACAGCATGCGATCGTCACATATGAGCAGACACATGCATATCGCAAGTCTCAGCTGCAGCTCTGCCGAGACAACCCCATGGGCAGTATTCCCAATTGGCTGGATTGGCTTTTAGTTATCAATCGATACAGGGATTATGTCTGACCTTTTTTCGGAGGCCGAGACATGTTGTTTGCTTTTGATTGATACGTGGACAAACCCCGGGTCATTATTTCAGCACCCACCTATGAGGTTGAAGAGCTGCGCAAGGCTAATACGAAAGGCATTCAACTAGGCAAAACAGCATTCTGCGAGGGTTCTTAAACCCCAAGCCTCTGTCGTCATGGTGAGTACTGTACCACGACCAAACCAAAGTCCTTTCCAGAGTCTGTCGGAAAGAATATAATTGCAGTGGTCTCACGGTAGCTTCGTCGTGTCACATACACAAGCAACTCATCATGCCTTACAGTGCCCGCACAGAAAGCCTCCCGGACGCGGTGATCTCGGGGGGGCTGGTCGACCCGCGCGCCGAAGAACAGCCTTCGTTCAGCACGCGAATGTCCTGTCGGGACGCCACCGACTTCATGTCCAACATCAAACGGTCTTCGCCTATGATTTCTAGACATAAGCCAGGCGGCAAGTCTGTTGGCATGGACCAGGCCCAAATTGACATGATTCTCGCTCGCTCGAAGGATATCCAACTGCCTTGGGACTAGCAGAATCCCGGTCAGCCCTTGTCAGATCTTGTGCCAGGGCTGGTGATTAGTGGAGGTCGCAGTCGGTCGCCCGCCTTTGATGGCCTGCCGGTCGTTTCACACTGGGGCGATCGCACCGGCGAGGCGTCGGCTGCAGACCCTGCAGCGACGGTCTGTCTTACATCGACGTGGTTCACCAGCCATGTGCTGGGCGAAGGGTCAACAATGCAGTGTCCCTTGGGCGCTCCCTGCTGGTCGCTCAAGACGCATGGCATCGGTCCGGTCGAGGCAGGGTCCAGTAAATTTACCCAGCACTACCACGCTGAAACCGACACGTTGGTCACGACCATCAGCCTAGCCCGTCGTTCTGACACCCCGCAGACCGGAGGCGTCCTGACTGCGGCGGCGAACATCTCGTGGGGGCGCAACACGCGCGTGGCGGACGCTGTAGACTGTGCCCTAGAGCTGCTCGCGGACGCCGCGGTGCTCCTGGCAGCACGGAACAAGGTGATCTCGACGGGGGTCACGGAGCGCCTTCCGTTCGCTGCAGTTCATGCAGCTCCAATGCCCACCTGGTGTGTCGCTCGCAAACCTCTACCTCCCAAGCTGAGTGGCGTGGCGCTCTCGCTCGACCCAGCCACGACCGAGGTTCTGGCAGCCGAGAACTGCGTTGGCCCGCTGCTTAACACGAGCATCTTCTCCATGGCCGTGGGCTACAACCGGGGCGTCTATGGGGGGTCGATCTCGGGCCTCTGGGCGATCATGGACTCGGCCTTCGTACTCGACTACTCGATCGGTAAGAACAGCCCAGCCATGGCGGAGAAACTAGCCGGCGCCTTTGCCGATGTGGCGGCCACCGCCGAGGCAGCCGTCTCCGCGGGCCCGCACATCACCGACATTCGCGTCGTCAAGGGGTGCAACTATGCCTGTCTCCACCAGAAGACCATCATCGAGGACACCGCAACGGTTGTCTCCCGGCCGTGCATGGTGGTCTGGGACGATTTGGCGCGGCTGGCCCGCTACAAGCTCGCGGACGCGGTGTTCTGCCATGTCTACTACGACTCCGGGGGCGGCGAGCAGATGGCCGCGATGGCGGGGCTGGGCTGCGTGGTACATGACTGGATTGATCTGGGCGCGGACCTGGCCTGCGGCGAGATTAGCAATATCATACCTACATTGACGCAGTGAGCACTGGATGAAGGGCCCCTGGCGGAGGTTTACTCGCGCTTGGTGGGCGCCATGATCTGGTATCACGACCACGACCCCTATAACCCAGCCGCCTTGTGCATCCTCTTCACCCACTGGTGGCAGCTCGCCAACTGCCGCCACCGACCCATTACCCTCCTCGGCCGGACTGACCTGAGTGTCGAGGCCATGGCAATCGCGGCCACCATTCCCACCGCGCGACCGTCACTAGAGCACTTCCGCGCGTGCGGCACGCCTGTCGAGCGCGGAGAAGGCGCCTTCGCGGCGGCCGAGGCGCGCTTCAACGCACTGCTGGCATCAAATCCGTTGGCGCAAACCCGGCGTGTGGCCGATCTCCTGGTCCGGCCGGTGCTCGCGTACGTGCGCGGGACGGACGACCACCTCCCCCTGGAGAATGAATACGTGGGGGCGGTGCTGGCGGCGGAGATCGCGTACCCGCAGGACCAAAAAATCCGCGAGCTGTGGGACTTGGCGATTGTGATGTGGGAATGCGGGGCCCTGTGGGCGGCGGGCGTCGCTGGCCTGTGCTATACCCACTCCGGCCAGTCCAACTGTGATCGTGCGCGCGAGGATTTGTCGGATTGCACCTGGAGTTGAGCGGGGGGTTGTTCTTTGGCTATCGCTGGTTTTCCTAGGAGGGTAAGAGCACAGAGCAGTATCAAACATTTCAAAGGATATATTCATGCTCCATAGGCACATTAAGCCATTAATACGTGATTAATATGGAGTATAGCTCTTGTAGATGGATGACGTGTTCAGTGTCGGCTTAATCCCAAGTCCTGAGGTTCTCAGGGTCAACATTGGTGTAGATGGCAGCAGCAGCACCACCACCACCACGTGTGATAGAATAACAAGGTGTCAAGATTGTACAGCCGCACGCAAGCCCTGCACATTCCTCATCAACTTCCTGGACGATGTTTTGTTCTCTCCGGCCTTGGATGAAACCCGCACGGCGGCTGTCGAGACGGGCCACGTCAACCACGCCCGTGCGGTCGGTGCAATATGCCACATAGATATGTTTGAAGACTTCAGATTAAGGAGCTTAGGCAGAGTACGAGATCGGAGAAGCCATCAATATCCAACGCATGGTGTTCTGCAATTGCGCCAAGGATCGATGTGGTCGCTGCGCGTTGTTCTTTCGGCCAGCTGGAGCCTTGGACGAGGCACAGGATAAATTAAGGGAGAGGCATGTGAAAGCCTTTTCGAAAGTGCGAGTGCGTATTGGAGTTTGGGATGAAAGAGGCTCATTGATAGGGTGGTTGAGGACAGGACGAGTGCAGAGGGTGTCGTTGGACGGAGTTGTGCAGAAGTGTTGAAAGGTTGGAAGTTGGCGTTTCTACTCCCGAGTCGCGGACGCGCCTTCCGATTTCGGCCCGCCAGCGCTCTCCACGTTGATGAATAGGCTCAAATCCTCATGGGTCAGAATAAAAACATTTTTTGATTGATCACCAATCACTGAACTTCATATTATTTAACATAGCCCGGCACAGCCGGTGCCTTCAAGCAACAGACCGAGTATACAATCGACCGGTAACCTCAAGATCATATCACATGATAAAAGTCAACAAGGAACAAGTATCTCATTCAACACAGACTGAAGAGGCAACTCCGCTAAGCCCCGTCTTTTCAAACTGCAACGCAACAGCCTTTAGTAGGTGTCGTTGGAGTCGTAAAACTCTCTGGGAGCAAATTTGAGCTCCACGTCACCAACATCAAAGACGGCGACCACATTCTTCAGGAAGACATCGCCAAGGATGAAGATATCCTCGCTGTAGTCGTCGCCACCATCGACAATACCCGAGATACAGACAGTGTTGCCACTGTCATCGGTGCCGGCGTCGAGGATCATGTCCAAGGGGTTGATGATGTAGGTGGTTCCACCGATGGTGATTCCGTGGGCGGGGGCCGTGGCATCGCAGTCGACCACGTAGGCGCCCTCATCCTCGCTGTACGTGGCGGCAGGGGAGAAGGCAGCGTTGACTTCGGCCGCGATCGAAGTCGGGTAGTAGTTGAGGGTCGTGCCGCTGTCGACAATGTACTGGATGCTACTGCCCCCGGCCGCGGTGAGAGACTTGCCGCTCAAAGTGACGGCATCGATCTCGATGGTGTAGTAGGCGTAGCCTTCGTCCTGACCGTCGTAGGTGGTCACCAGGATATCGGTGGATGACCAAGTGTCAGTGTAGTTGACGGGAGGAAGACCACCAAGGGTGATGTAACCAGCAGCCCCGGAGACATCGCGCTCGATGGCGATGCTGAAGTAGGAGTCGATGAGACCTTCATCGACTAGGGTGGTGATGATGGGGTCGTATTCCACCTGCTGCTCGGTGCGGGTGCTGTAGGCACTCGTACTGTGGGCAGATAAGTTAGACCGTTTTGTGACACGCCAACCGCAATGAGCTCCAAGGCGCTGAAGAGAAACTTACATGCCGGGGTAGGCCAGACCAACGAGACCGGAAGTGGTACCATCTCCCTCCCAGTATGCCTCGGTGACACCGGCCAGCTCCTGCTCGACGCTAATCCCGGCCAGCGTGACTTCATCCTTGCCCATAACTCCGATGGCAAACTCTCCGTCGCCATAGCTGATGGAGAATTCCTCGCCGGAGATCTTGGCGAAGGCGCTCGTGGGTGACCAGGTGGGACCGAACGCGCAGGTGGATTCGGAGACCTGCTTCTCGTTCTCGTTCAGGCAAGTGAAGCCCTCTTCTACCAGCCACAGGTCACTGGAACCGGTGTCAACGATCACATCGAAAGAGGCCCCACCAACTGTAATGGAGGTAGCGAATTCCTCGCCTTCAAAGAGCGAGATCAAGGTAGAGCTGCCGGAGGTAGTCGTGCTGGAGCTGGTTTTCTTCAGACGGGAAGCGCTGCGGCTCGCACCACTGCTACTCTTCACCTTTTTCAGTTCCAAGACACTGGAGGAAGCCTTGTTGCTAGCACGGCTGGCAATGGGAGTGGGCTTGTACACCCTTTTGCTCAGATCATTGCGGGCGGGGGCAGGGGCTGCTGAGACAACGCCCGCAAGGAGAGTGGCAGCAGCCAGGGAACCGGCGGTGAAGCGCATTGTGAAAGGAAGTGATGAAGGAAAATTCCGTTACAATGCCAGAGGACGGAGGGAGGTGTAGTGAGGACTGTCGGAGAGGGGTATCGCGGGTGGATTTTATACTTCTACCTCACTGCGAAAGACCTCATGCTGCCGGGTGACTCGGTCACTTTCGCTTGGAGATTAGTCTGCAGACTAAATCTTTAGCGCGCAGCCTGTACTCATCTCCCTTCATCTCGTCAGGACTGTCTCAAATGGTGCGTGAGCAGTCGTGAGAGGGTGAAAGATCATTGGTGCTACCTGCGGGTGACATGGGAGGACAGGAGCAAGTAGCAGCAGCAGCAGCAGCAGCATCACCACCACCATCGCCGTCACTCAACTACAATGGGTGGATCCGTTGTCCACGATGGATATTGCCGATAGTGGGGTTTGCGTCAGCCTGGCTGGGGATTGGTGCAGCCAGCTGGCCCACCGAGCGATAAGCAAGCAAGGCGCGTCGGAGTCCGCAGGAGATTGGCCTGATGAGGGGCACTCTTCATATCGCGCCATGATAGGGCGAACACCTCGGTCAGGCACCTGCTGAGAGTGGCTGTCGTCACCGTCGGTCTCCTTGAATTTCACATTGACTTTCAAATTAGCTTCCATGTTGAGGAATCCAGCCCGAGCAGACAATTTAGCGCTCGGCGGGGCTCAAGCCATCCGCTTCGCTACCCACTCTATTCTAGGTGGAATGTCCAGCATGCGCATCAGACTGGGTTGCAGGAGTGCAGAGGTACACGGCCGTTGAAACATGACCAGTCTGATGACATTCTCCCAACTGCAAGGGCCCATGTCAGCCCGCGAACCTGGTCAAGCATCAGTGTCACCAAGAAATGATCACCAAAGGCTTGATTCTGTCAAGCTCAGATCGGCATAGATACGGGGTGGAGTGCTCTACAGGGACAGTCAACCGTGATTTGTGTTACTGACATGGTCAGTATGGTGGATATGACCGGACCAATGATATAATCCTCATTCCGGTTAAAGCGGCAGCCATGTGCCATCAACAATGTAATCCACGAACGTTTGAATGTTTACTGCACAACCAAAGGCAGCAGTGTGACTAGCAAATTAGTCATTGTTCGGATGGAGGCTAGGTAGTTATTCCGTTCCGGAACGGGGAAGCGAACGGGGAATGGCCGGGCACTCCGTAATCTGCACGATTGTGCTTCTTGCTCTTATCTTCATCTCCATTTCCGACTCTGCTGCTGCTGCTCGTCCAGAAGATATCGATAATCTAATCATTCCACCAATCACTCTCATGCGCTTGCCACATCCAGCCTAAGAACCTACATGAACACATGAATCTGGTCCATCGGTCGCCAGTCCATTTGTTTAGATGACCGGGACCGACACCGACCAAAGTGCCAAATCGCGTGGTACGTGCGATTGCGCCCTCGCAGAAACACACACCCCAGGCAAATCTCGAGCTAACTGTCTCTATCTTCCCTTGTCAGGATGCTTTCAATGTACCAAGCGACGGATCGTCTGCGATAGGGCCGAACCCACCTGTCAAAAATGCCTGAAGAAGGGGATTGAGTGCAGTGGCCTCGGCCGCTTCCGATTCGGCAATGGGGTCGCGACGCGTGGGAAGTTGAAAGGCAGCCCTATCCCCGTCCTCAATGTCGACCCGGTCTCTATTCACAAACAATGCGTTTCCATCGTCTCGCAGATTCGATGGTCTCATGAGAGGAAGAAAAGGGTTAGCAAGAGTCGTGCTTCGAAGCCAGTCTCGAATGCGCCAGTCAATGGACAACACGATGCCGTCGGACGGTTCTCTCCGATGTCACTTGAAAACCGTCTTTTGCCACGCAGCGAGCCTGTAGTTGCCCTTCCTACGACGTCGACCTCGACTACAATTGGTATAGACAAGACAAACTTCGCGCAGGATTCGGCGACCGTGGTATCGCCCGAAGAGGATGTTGAGAATGACAATGCCGACAAGACCGTAATCTTAACCAGAAGGATGGACCAGGCAGTCCAGCCTTGGATCGCTCCTTTGAGCTCACAAATCCGTGGACTATTCCACTATTTTGCCAATAACATCGCCCCGGTCATGGTTTTGCTGGATATCTCCAATGGCTATCGCGATTTCATCCTTCCGATGGCTTGTCAGGATGAGGTGCTGCAGCGCGCTGTTGCCGTGGTGGCTGCTCAGCACGTTGGCCTCAGGCAACCAGCATTACTTGCGGCAGCAGAAGCCGATCGCTCCGTCATTATATCCCGCTTGTTGCGGGCGTCCAACCTCGGGTCGCCCGATCAGGTGTTCAACCCGGCTACATGGGCAACATTGCTCGTACTTCTCGTCGGGGAGACGGTGACTGGCAGCCCGGAGTACAAGTTCCTGCTCCAGACGCTGTTCACCATGGCCAAGAACGTCAAGTCATCGGGGCACCCTCAACTGCACGAGTTCCTTCTACGACAGACCGACATGTTCTCATTTCTGGGTGGGTCTCTACTCAACAAGGATGAGGGCCTTAAGACCTTAAGCCATCCCGTGGACTCCGGGGTCTGGTTACCGTCCAGCGTTCGTGCAGACGCTCAACACAATAGAACACTCTGGCTGGCCAGGCGATCATTCACTATTGGCGCCCAGATCTACCTAATGCGGATGACATCGAACGAAAGCTCATGGCATCTGCGAGAAGAGCTGCGTCGGCTAATCGCTCAGGCGCATCCGACGGATCCGGGAGCCCATGGGTTCGTCTGGCCATGCTTTATCGCGGCGGCGGACAGTACGGAGCCAGAACATCGCGCGTTCTTCACTTATTACATGGGAGCCATTCACTCGAACACGCTTTTCGCCAATATCACCAAGGCTATTGATGCATTGCCTGCCATTTGGAAATCGACGTCGAAGAAGTGGACGGAGACTTTGCCGGATGTCTCTCGGATACTCATTATGTGACGCTTGGCTAACCAAATTGCCAAAAGTCGGCGTATTATGCTAGGGAGGCAACGAAGGCTATTTGTGTCGTCCTGCGCAGTGGCGTTTCAGAATTACGGCGCGGATTACACTGCCTTCACCGATCCTGTAGACATGCAATTAATTCAGCAATAGATACCCGAAGACAGTACACGTGATTGAATACGCGATGCGAACTTTTAGACATCCGCGGAAGTGTCCGCAAGCTGGCCTACCAAAGCGTTACCGACTAGTCAACAAGTTGTGTATGTTGACCTCGTTGATCCAGCGTACTAAGCATTTCCTATACTTTTACCATCTCTCTACGCAATCATACCGAAGAAAGTATCACCCTTCATCAACCATCGTGGCCAGACAATGAATTATAAGCTTGTATATTGTCAGACTGACACGGTTCGAGCCCAACTCGCCAACTCTAAAAGAAAGCTCCCGGTACTCGGATATGCAACCTGTGCGCCCTCAAATGTTTCATCGTTATTCAGCCATCGCACTAGCATTCATGGCGTTCCTTTACGTGTACAGGACTACCTGTAACCTCCGACGCACTCAATCCAATTGCTCAATCCCCAAACCTTGAAGCGTGCTCTGGTTACAGCGCCGCAGGAACACCAACACTTCCTCTTTATCATGGTATGCGTCATTATACGCTCCGCTTAGCGTTAATTTCCCCTTCCATGTTCCGAGGAACAGCCCAAGGCCAGTCCCCAACTCCTCGCCCGTCACCCAAGGATCGTCCAGCTCGAAGATTCCTTGATTCGGCCTGATCACTCGGTCCAGAACCCCCATGCTGGAGATCGACACAGACGGCGTCTCATTCCGCGGCGGGACCGGCGGAGTCTTCCCATCGGCCGGATAAGGGATCGTCGACATCGCCCAGTACGAGGGGACAAGATTGATATGCTCTGCATCATCACGAATGTCGAGGTAGAAATCCCGGATCGTCCCCGCGGTGTCCATGAACTCCTTGCTCCTCGTCTCTTCAGAGACCGGATCCACCGAGTCCGACGACGCAGGAACAGTCAGGTCGACTGCCAGCCCGCGCCCCGAGACCGAGTGGTACACTGCGGCCGGATGCGCGACGGTACTGTACGGCGCCGCGCAGTGGCCGCGCTCATTAATGAGACTGTAATTGAGATACCGAACCACTCGCGCCGCGGGCTGCCGCTCCTGGAGGTCCCGCACACCGAGCGCAATGGCAGCGTGATAGGCGTGCGTGATGCTAAGCGCTGCCGCCTTGCACGCCGCCAGCACCCGCGCGGTCGCCTCCGCGGACAGCGTAATCGTCACCCTCTGGTGCCTCCCCGGCAGGCTTGCTTGCCTTTTGAACGGCACACTCGCAATCTCCACCGCTTCTTTCTTGAGGGCTGCATTGAACTCCAAAATCTCCCGCATGCGCGCTTCCTGCTCCGAGCTCAATCGCGCTGGGATCCCCGCTGCCACCCGAAGCGGTGGACTCAGATTTACCCATTCCCCGCCAAACGTGGGTGGTGTATACCCGGAGGGCCCGGTCTCATACGCCCGCGCGGCATGCCGGAACAAATTCTCGAACAGCATCAGCGTCCCCACCCCATCGACGATATCATGTCGCGCCCTGAGCACCACGGTCGCGCGCACGCGTCCTTCCGACTCGTGCGGGCCCGACCCCTCCTTAACCAAGAACAGCGTCGGCAGGTCCGGCACCGGCGGGTCCGAGTTACACCACTCCTGGCCCGTAACGCCCGCGTCGACGACCCGAAACGTCTCGTCCAGCCAGTCCGCCGGCGTGTACGCGTCCGAGAAAGTCTCGTACACCTTCTTACACCGCCCCTGGTGTAGAGCGTACTCCACGCGCGCGGCGATGGTCGGATGGTCGTAGCGCAGCTGCAGCCACGCCCGGCGCAGGGCGTCCCCCATTCTGCGCTCCGTGGCAGCGCGGTCCGTCCCGTGGATGGGGAGGGAGCAGGTGATCGCGCCGGTCATAGCGAAGAAGACGCGGCCGGTGGCCTCGTGGGCTTTGGCGAGGGAGGTGTAGAACTGCTCGGCTTCGTCGAGGGGCCGCTCCCACCGGGTTGCGGTT